CACTGCACTCCAGTCTGGGCGACAGAGTGAGACTCCAACTCAAAAAGAAAAAAAAAAGAGGCTGTATTCCCCGTCGTGTGTTGGATGCCTCCAGGGGCTCAGCCCTAAGACCGTCTCAACTTAGCCAGCTTGTTATTTTCATGGGGACACGGTTCAAATAATCACGTGGTAGTCAGACAACACGGTGAGTGCTGTCACCAAATATTAAATGAGATCCCAGGAGACAGCTCCCAGCCAAGATCTCAGGGACTTCAGGAAGGCTCAGGGGAGGAAGCGACATCTAAGCTGAAGCCCAGCGAACTGTGATTTGCCATGTCTGGAGGGCGATGCATGTCCTAGGCGGAAGGGACAGTGTGTGCAAGGCTTGGGTGGACGTGTCCCAAAGCCCAAAGGGGTTGGGGGGGCAGGGAGGGACAGAAGTGGCCCAGTCAGGAAGGAGGGGGCCATGTCCTGACAGCCCTTGGGGTCGGAAGTGCCCCCTCCCAGGCTGGAGGCTGCCGGACGTGGCCTGGCACTCACCTGGCTGGGTAGGGCCGATCGGAGGGGAGCCAGGCGGTGGCTAGGAGCTGATTTTGGAGGCCTTGGGCTCGGAGGGGCAAAGCGAGGGGACCTAGCAGGGGCTGCTGGGGGGAGAAAGCCACGGGGCTCATATCAAGGGAATGGAAGGTTCTAAGATACGATGAATGAGCAGTGGTGGGACCCCAACCTGCGGATCACCGCTGGAATCATGTCTCTGAAGAGGTGTGTCTCATTCAGAATGTGATCCTGAGAGAGTAATTAAGGAGTCCTTTACGCCGGGCGCGGTGCTCATGCCTGCCATCCCAGCACTTTGGGAGGCAGAGGGGAGAGGACTCCCTGAGCCCAGGATTCGAGACCAGCTCGGGCAACTAGGCGAGACCTCGTCTCTGCAATAAATCAAAAATTTAGCCGGGCGTGGTGGTGCGTGCCTGTAGTTCCAGCTACTTGGGAGGCTGAGGCGGAAGGATCGCCGGAGCCCAGCAGGTCGACGCTGGGGTGGCCGTGAGTGTGCCACTGCCTTCCAGCCTGAGGGACAGAGGAAGACTCCAACTGGAAAAATATATATATCCTTTGGGAAAATATTCTGGAAAAAAATTCTCTACAAAAATTAAAAAATTAGTGGTACATGCCTGTATTCCCAGGTACTCAGGAGGCTGAGGCAGGAGGATCGCTTGAACCTAGGAGATGAAGGCTGTGGTGAGCCGTGATCATGCCACTGCGTTCTGGCTTGGATAAGAGAGTGAGACTCTGACTCCAAAAAAAAAAAAAAAAAAAAAAAAATTTCTATGTACTTCTATCTCGGCCACCCCAGCATCAACCTGCTGGGCTCCGGCAATCCTTCCACCTCAGCCTTCCAAGTAGCCAGAACTACAGGTGCGCACCACCACACCCGACTATTGTTTTCTTTTATTCGTTAGAGAAGAGGTCTCGCCAAGTTGCCCAGGCTGGTCTCGAACTCAGGCAGTCCTCTTACCTCAGCCTCCCAAAGTGCTGGGATTATAGGCACGAGCCACCGCACCGGCCACTGTTTCCTTATATGATCCCCAAAGTCCAAAAGGTCCAGGATTCCAATTTGAATCCCCAAAGTCCAAAGGGTTTAGGAAGGGAAGAGAATAAAAATAAACAACGAGGTGCAAGCAGCAGGAATCCACGAATAACGTTTGTCCCCTCATATCCGTGGCCTGTCGCACCCTGGGGTGGGCGCTGTTCTGACCCCCGGGAAGGGAGGAGACCGGCCCAGGCAGCCTGTGACTGCCCGGAAGGTGGCTCGGGCTGTCTGCATGTGAAGCCCGTGCTCGTCTCCCCTGCTCCGGGGCCTCGGGTCAAGGAAGTTTCCACTTCTTCCCCGCCACGCCAGCCGCACCAGGAGCCACCGCCCTGTGTCTTGGGACCCACCGCAGGCCTCGACCCTGCAGAATGTCCTCCCAGGATCTGAGGTGAGCTCTGTGGGATAGCCTGGGCTCTCTGGGCCCCTGGAGGGGGGGAGTCCCTGAGGTTCCAGCACGTCCCTCGACTTCTTTCCCAGATTCCTGAAGACTAAGCGAGCCCTGGGGAAGAGCAAGTGAGATCCGTTTCCCAGATACATGTGTTATGTGTGTCACATGCACATTGGGTTAAATATGCATAGGCACATACACACGAAGACATATACAAATATACATATATCTTTTTTGGGGAGAGGAGGGTCAAAGTCTATCTGTCACCCAGGCTGGAGTGCAGGGGCACGCTCCCGGCCACCGCAGCCTCGACCTGCTGGACCCAGGTGATCCTTCCGCCTCAGCCTCCCGAGCAGCTGGAACTACAGGCACGCGCCACCACGCCCGGCTAAATTTTTGATTTATTGTAGAGACATGGTCTCACCAAGTTGCCTAGGCTGGTCTCGAACCCCTGGACTCAGGCAATCCTCTTGCCTCCACCTCCCAAAGTGCTGGGATGACAGGCGTGAGCCACCCCCTCTGGCTTACAATGTATCTTCTCTGACTGCAGAATTTTTCTTTTTTCTTTTTTTGTTTTTTTTTGAGTTGAAGTCTCACTCTGTCACCCAGACTGGAGTTTAGTGGCACGCTCATGGCCACTGCAGCCTTGACCTGCTGGACTCCGGAGATCCTTCTGCCTTAGCCTTCCAAGTAGCTGGGACTGCAGGCGCACGCCACCACACCCAGCTAGTTTTTGTGACTTATTGTAAAGATGAGGTCTCACCAAGTTGCCCAGGCTGGTCTCGAATCCTCGGGGCTCAGGCAATCCTTCGCCTCGGCCTCCCAAAGTGCCGGGATGACAGGCTGAGCCTCCGCAACCAGCCTGACTGCAGAATTTAAGGCACAGTTCTATTGGTTGTCACAAAGTTGCTTGCCTGCGCACCAAGGTGGGCTACACATGGTGGTTCACGCCTTGTAATACCGACACTTTGGGAGGCCAAGGCGGGAGGACCACTTGAGCCCCAGAGTTCAAAACCTCCCACTACCCTCAACCCCGGGAAACATAGTTAGACCTCATCTCTACAAAAAATAGAAAAATTAGCCAGTTAAGGTGGTGCGTACCTGTAGTCCCAAGTCCCAGCTACCCGAGAAACTGAGGCTGGAGGATCGCCTGAGTCCAGGAGGTAGAAGCTGCGGTAAGCCATGATTGTGCAACTGCACTCCAGCCTGGGCAACAGAGTGAGATCCCAAATAAAAAATTTATAAAGCTGCTGGACTCGGTGGCTCAGCCTGTAATCCCGCGCCTTTGGGAGGCTGAGGCGAGTGGATTGGCTGATCTCGCGGGTTCGAGACCCGCCTGGGCAACTTGGCGAGACCTCATCTCCACAATAAATCAAAAAATCAGCCGGGTGTGGTAATGCATGCCTGTAATTCCGGCTACTCGGAAGGCTGAGGCGGAAGGATCGCCGGAGCCCAGCAGGTCGAGGCTGCGGTGGCCGGGAGTGGCCACTGCACTCTAATCTGGGCGACAGAGTGAGACTGCAACTCAAAAAAAAAAATTTAAAAAGCTTATTCTCTCAGTCTGCCTGTGGCCTGAAAGATAAGAACACTTTCCTGGACTCCAAGGAGTCTGAGAAAGTTTTGTTTTGTTTTGTTTTTCACTTTTTTACTGTAGAGTGGTCTCGCCAAGTTGCCCGGGCTGGTCTCGAATCCACAGGCTCAGGCAATCCACTCGCCGTGGCCTCCCAAAGTGCTGGGATGACGGGCTGAGTTTTGTTTTCTGCTTTCCATCTGCCACAACTCCTATACTCGACAGGGCAAGGAGCCCACATCATCTGCGGACTTGGCTTTCGGCTGGAATTAGGCCGTCTCGATACTTGACCCTGGCTCTCTCGCTGGCTAAGATTCAGCCTCCTCATCAGCAGTGCATGTTCTCTTATTAGTCACCATAGCTACCACCTGGCCGATGCATTCGTTTATTGAGTCCTGACACAAGCAACACCTTGAGTCAAGTTTTACACGGGGGAATCGAAGGTCACAGGAGTGAGGAAACAGCACGGGTCAGGTTCAAACTCAGTCCGCCTGACCTGATGTGCTCATTAAAATTTCAGTTTGTTTGAGATTTTTTTTTTTTTTTTTTTTGAGTCAGAGTCTCACTGTGTCGCCCAGGCTGGAGTGCTGTGGAAGGCACAAGGCCACCACAGCCTCGACCTCCTGGCCTCAAGCGATCCTTCCCTCTCAACTTCCCAAGCCTCAGCCTTCCGAGTAGCTGGAACCACAGACATGCGCCACCACGCCCAGCTAATTTTCTGATTTATTGTAGAGATAGGTCTCGCCAAGTTGCCCAGGCTGGTCTCGAAACCCTG